CCCTGTCACGTGACCAGATGACAAATTTATGAACATTTTATTTTAATATTTATTTCAAATTGTTATATTTGCAAACTGAAAATTCATGCAGGCAAAGAAAGAATTTAATAACATAAACATACTAAGAAAGTATTATGTCTTCACGACTTATAGTTTTGCAACAACTCAGGGCTTTCAAAACGTTTGTTATGTTGCCCCGCTTTCCCCTAACTTTTTATCAATGTTAGTATCAATGTTATAACTAAAATACTATTTATGTGGCGGTCTGATTAAAAATTGTTTTATTCATTTAAAAATTCAGCAAATTCCCAATTACTAATTTTAAGTATTTTTATGCAGTTTCAAGGCTCTATTTTATATTTCATGAAACTACTACATAATCCGTATAAAAAGAAACCCAAGACCATGTGTTCAAAAAGCATATTAAAATTTGGTATGCAAAAAATTGTTATTGTAAAATTTGTCGTTTTTAACTACTATTTTTATTTATCTATACAATATTTACTCATTTTTATGTAATGAAACGGTTGCAATTTGAATAATTTAATTTAATTTGTAATTTGTATTACAATTTTGTAAATTGTAGTTTGTTTTTTGTTTTTAAATATTTTGTTTTAAAAATTTAATCGTAAATTGACAATATAAACGTAGATATTTTTTTAACGATTTTTATGTGAGTATGTATTGTTAAATGTGTTGATTTTAATTGAACCCGTCATTTCGAAAAGGGCACAAGTCACACTTTTTTCAAATTTCACTTTTTAATGCAATTTTATTTATTCAAGTGTTTTACATATTCCCTTTGAAGGAGAAACATTTTCATATGCCACAAGTCAACTTTAAATGCAAATGAAAATTAAAGTCTGTTTGAAAATGGCATAAGTCCCGGACTTATGCCTTTTTCAAGTGAAACAAAGCGCAACTGTAGTGACGTAATTTCACTTTTTTTGTAACAAAAATGGAAAATCGCGAACTTGCTGAAAATGCATATAGATCTAGAAAAAGAGTGTCTGGTATAAGAAACAGTGGAAATTATAAACACAAAAAAAATAAAAAAAGCCAAAATTGCTGAAGAAACTTATAAAAACCACAAAGGAAACGTTGTGGTACCGAGTCAAACGGGTGCTTCTTGTAGGTTAGTTTTTTGTTCTTTAGAGTATGACTATATTCGTTCTCAAATTTATGCTTATTTACTCATGTTTTACCACCAATAATTGGAGGTAAAACATCTTGATATATAATTATTACAATATTACCTCAATAATTCTATTTATTTAAATGATGTAATTCAAAGTGTATGGAGCTTTTATCTGAAGATTTTATAGAAAGTACAGTTTGTTAACAAATTTGATTGTAAAAATGCTCAAGACACATACTTGCAGTCATTGATTGAAAAGAGGGAAGATGGTTTAGATCTAAAGACCCTAAGAAAAAAGAATTTTCTTTTATTTATCACATTTAGATTAAAGGTGTGATAAGAAAAGTACGCAAGAAATCTTTTTGCTGTATGCATGGAATTTCTATGAAACAAGTTAGACATTTATGCATTTTATTAAAAAAAAAAAGAGCAGCTTATAGATTACAGAGGTAAATCTCTGTGATCACGATGCAACGCATTACCTGGAGATACATTAACAAAAGTACGTGAGCGAAGTATGTACCTTTGTGCTGAATTATATTTTTAAAAATATTGGTTACAAAGCCAAAGAACTGCACCTATTTTCTGATGGTTGTGCAGGCCAAAACAGAAATCATGCCACGGTCCGAATACTTTCATCACTGGTAGCTGAGCTAGATAGCAATATAAATGAGATACAATATTACATTCCAAAAAAAAGGTCACTCATTCTTGCCAAACGATAGAATGTTTGGAACAGCAAAACGACATTCAAAAAAATGATCGGATTTACACACCAACGGAGTAAAAAAATGGTGGCTAAACCATTATAAGAAACTTGTGCTACCTGTGGATTCCTATAAAAAAGGAGTACTCAAGGACAAAAAATTTACTTTTGGTATTTCTAAAATTTCCCATTTCCCATTCTCTAATACCACAGCAGGTTTAGTGAAAACATATGAATCCATAGATTGCTTAGTCAGTTATAACTTCCAGCTATTACAAAGAATGGGTACCCGGTCAACCTTACCATTAAGTAGTACTCCTGCATATATTGGAAAATTACCTATCAATGAAAAAAATATATCAGATTTGAAAAAAATATGAAAAAATATATTCCATATTCAATAGAAGAGTACCAAAACTTCTATACAAAGGTTTTTGCTTCGCCAACAACTTCGGCAAACAATGAATTCCGAGAAATAATTGATGATTACCTAACAATAAATGTTTTTGTATAATAATAAATCATTATTATTCTGATAATCTTTGGTTTTTTATATACAAAAAAGCGTTCATTCCGAAAAAGACATAAGTCCATAAATTTAAATTAGAAATATATGTGTTATATATTATTTTTTTATAACAAATAAAACTCTAAAAACTTATGTATAACTTTTATATATCTACTGTTATCTTTAGTTTCGTTAGCACCATAGACTTTTTTTATAATAAAGTTATTTTTGTTGATCCTGAAAAGTTTGAATAAATGGACTTGTGCCCTTTTCGAAATGATGGGTTCAATTAGTAAACTATTGTAACTATCAACAAAAAATATAAAATATTATGATTAGCTAACTTTAGGCTTTCTTGTATTATATATGAACAAATATCAATACTTTTATTGTTTTAACTATATAAAAATATAAATTTTATTTACAAAATTTTAATATAGTCTTGCTAAGAACATATTACATAATCATTTAGAATGAAATATATATAATGTTTTCGCCACATAAAATCAGATACATCATTTACCCAGTAGGAGATAAGCTAGCAACTAGCTAGTCGTTACTTTTGGGTAAAAGACGCGTTAAAGACGTATAAAATACGTAGTATTAGGTGTTTTCAACGTTTTAAAAACGTCTTCTAGCGTCATCTTTTTTTCGCCGGTTAACTTACAAAAATCATTAATAGAGACCTGGCGGACATAAAATAAATTATAAAATAAATTTAAATTGATAATATACATACTGAACAATCTATTTCAAGTTTCAAATTACTGGACCGCTTTGGACCGTGAAAGTATTCGACTGCATAAGTGAAATTTCGACTAAAAAAACTACTTCAAATACCCCGTCATTTGAAATCATTTTATTTGACATAACTTACATGCAAATTCGTGTTTTAATAACTCATTTGAAAGATAGTACTTGATTTTAATAATTTAAGCAATAAAATTAATTGATTTCGTTAATGTGAATATTAACGTAAAACTGAAATTAAGAATCATCTTATATAAAATATAGAAATAAAAATATATAAATAAACACAAAATATCATTGAAAGAAAAAAGAAATGATGCAGAAAAATAATTTTTGAAACGTAAAATAGATGAAATTGATTCTTCATCTCGCCAATATGGAGCGCCTAATAAGAGAATGCATTGAACGCCAAATAGCCAAGTGGCCAGCGTAATTACATGAACATCAGCTGCGTCAGGATAGCGTGATTGAAATGGTTGTCAAAACCAGGTATGGACCGGTATCAGCCGTCATTTTGAAAGATTATAAATACATTTGATCCATAATTTAAATTGCCAAGTAATAATTAACTAAGTCTGTCAACTGTTGTACTTAAGTTCAAAAATGTTTGAAAAAATTTTAAATATACTGTATGCGGTGTCGGGTTAATAATAAATTAGCCTATAAGAGTACATTGAAATTGAGGGTTAGCCGCCTAATTGCCTAAAATAAACATTCTATAATGTATATAAATATTTTACATTCTATACAAATATTCTTCGGTGGGACTAAAGATAGAAATAACCCTAGAAAGCCAATATAAATTGAAATAACTTGAATAACTATTATATTGCGATTATTTTAAATTATTTTAGGTTATTCATAAATTACGTAAAATTACCGTAATTTAAGAAAAGTAATTGCCTTCCTAAGGCAGCCTAAGCGAGGCTTAGACTGCCTCAGGAAATGAACCACAGTCAAGGAGGCTACTTTATAGCGCTTACAGCCCTTTCGTATCACTTTAAATTAAAAACACGTTGTGCTACCAGGGGCGTGGTGTGGATCGAACTTGGGTTCTCGCTTTTGAAGCAAACGCTTTACCACTACACTATTTTTACTGCAACTTACTACCAAGATCTTGACAGCAGGTTACTAGCTTTATGTAAATTTTTCTTGGCTCAAAGTTTTCAATGAAAACATTTATTATGCCAAGATACCCAGTGGGCACGGGACATAAAAAAAGACGTTTTTTGAACGTATTTTAAATGTATCGAACGTCTTTTCAACGTCTTTTCAACGTTTTGAACGTCTTGTAAACGTTCAAAAGACATTTTTTTTGGTCCCCTGCCCACTGTGTAGAATCTTTTTTAATGAAAGCTATCAACTGATTAAACAAATATGATATATTATTGAAAGTTAAAGTTTTGTAAGTTAAATTTGCTTATAAAAGCATGGCTTTTTTTTAAATGAACGTTTAAATTTTTTAGTAATAAATCTTTTTTTAATTATTTACTTCCATCCTGTAGTATACACTTTCTTTTCTGTGACACCATGTTGGTTCCTTTATATACGCTTCGAAAACTTGTGCATCTTAAAAATTAAGTTAAATATTTTCAAAAAATAATTTTTTAACGCAATGCAAAAAACAGCCATTTAGCATCGGTCCCACACAAAGTTGTCAAAAACAAATTTGACACATTTCAAACAAACTATGATTTTGGATTGCACTTTAGGTAACTTATCTCTAAATAAAGTTGCTCTGCCTTATTTTGAAGCTTAGATTAAATCATTGAATTCTTTTAGAATATATAAATAATGTTGTATAGTGAATGTTTTTCAATAAAATATATTTAATAAATTTAAAAATATTTTTGCTTAAAAAGTATAATAAAAATAATTTACAACAGTTATGCACATACCAAATATATAATAACAATAACGATTTTCATTGTTGTTGTACCACTGTCATAATGGTTTTATTAACATTTAGGAAATATCTTGAAGCTAAAATTATTAAAAAAAAAAAAAAAGTTAAAAGTTTTTAAAATTATTGGTCAGATATATTATTAAACGTCTCGTTTACAACTAAATATATAACTTTTACAAAATCAATCGAAAACAATTTTATCTATTTCTGTTTTAAAAATTAAAACTAAAGGTGAAAAGATGATTTAAAAGAAACAATCATTTTAAATGATTTATTTTAAGTTACCTAGAGTTGCTTGATTTGATAAATAAATGTTAAAACCGTAAAGCTCGAATAAAAAATCTATATATAAATTTCAGTCAATGCAAAATTATTAGTTTTGAACAAAAATATTTTCACTGGAGGTTGTAGATGGTCATAATAAATAAATAAAAAAACTTCTAGTTGAGCAAAATTACGTTAACTTTATCTTAACTACTGTTTCTGGTTTAAGTGACTCTATCTTTATTGATATACCCAGCATTTAGTTGATTCCTTGAAAAATAATCTGTAAAAAAATAGATATAAATGTTTTGTCTTTGATATATATATATATATATATATATATATATATATATATATATATATATATATATATATATATATATATATATATATATATATATATATATATATATATATATATATATATTTGTATAGATTTCGATATATAGAATATATTCGAGGTTAAGTATTTTGATGTAATAATACGAAGTCTCTTGTACGTGTTACAGTGCTCAATATTACTGAATAATAGAGCTATATATAATTATATTTAGATGAATAAAAACAACTGATTAGCGGGACTTAAAGTTTCAGAAACTTTAAGTCCCGCTAATCAGTTGTTTTTATTCATCTAAATATAATTATATATATATATATATATATATATATATATATATATATATATATATATATATATATATATATATATATATATATATATATATATATATATATGTATATATATATATATATATATATATATATATATATATATATATATATATATATATATATATATATATATATATATATTCTTACCAGGAAAAAAAACTTTAGATGTACATAAATACTGTCAATGATACAGTAAACAATATAATATCACGTTTATTGTATTGTTGTCAATATCTGTGAGATATTAATTTTTTTTTTCTAGTTCTCACACGTAACCAACTACTTACCAGTTCCATTGCATTATAAACGTCAGAGCTGCTCTAATTGATTATAATTTTCTTTGCATTTAAATGTGAAGATAGTTCATAAAAAACAAAAAAGTTGTTTGACCCAAACCAAAGTACAGAAAACTATCAAAAAATTTAATAGTTTGTTTAAACATCAAATAAAGAAAAAATGTGACATGTACATAAGCTTTATAAGCTGGTCACACTATTTAAATAAGTTCTTCATAACTATTCACCTTATTTAGATAGTGTGACCAGAGTCGCCAAAAGAAAGGGGGAGCATTTGAAGAAAGAACATCACAGCATATGAGGCATCGCATCCTAGCGGGCACAGGACATACATAAAACGTACAATGTGCGTTTAATTTACGTCCTGAGCGTCCTGGACCTTTTTAGAATCAAATAATAAATAGTTTTTTTTGATCAGCGTGGAATGTTCATAACACATCTTAATTACATTTGGAAGTGTGCCATTTTATAACGAAACACAGATCAAACAAACATGTAAACAAAAATTAAAATCTCGTTTTATTATATTTGGTAAAAAATATTTAGTTTTATGGTTAACTTTTCGTAGATATATTATTTGGTAGTTATCAAATGCATGCGCATTTTTTTATTTTATCTCGAAGTAACATTCAAGTCTAAATAATAATAACTAACGGTTTCATAAAGAGTTGTTTCAAATAGATTGCATAATACATTGCAAGTTTTAACTATTATTACATTAATAGATTATTTCTTAGATCTTTTTTAACAAATTTTGATTTATGTTTAGTTTTAGTATATATGAAATAATAAATTTATAAAACATAGATTATATTTTTTATATATATATTTAGCTATATCAAAAACTGTATATATACTAAATATAAAAATACTAATATATATATAAAAATATATATACTAAATATGAAAAATTGTATGCTAAATATAAAAAATTTATGCCTAAAATTTGTTAAAAGTTTAAATTACCAATATTACTTTTAATCAACAATATTGTTGAATAAAAATACTATTTGAAATCAATACTTTTTACAAATTTTATTATTATTGCAACAGTTATTACTAAAATTAAGATTTTTTTACATTTCATTTCTTTCATAAAGATATAATTTCCATAGGACTATTACATTGTGTATACAATCTATATTGTCACCGTATATACAATAACCATATAAATTGTATTCACAAAGACAAAAATGTTATACAACTTTTTTGTTATACAATGTTATGTTATACAAAGACAATAATATTGCCATTGTATATTCTATTAAAAATAATATATTTTCAGTCTAATCAATCTATCAATAATATTGCCATTGTATATTGCCATTGTATATTGTATTATCAATAATATTGCCATTGTATATTCTATTAAAAATAATATATTTTCAGCATTATCAATCTAACTCCGATCATCTTTATTTTTTATCCAAAATACTCAAAATTGATGATCTAGTTCAACTATTAAATTGCCATTTTGTCTTTATAAACAAAAATGTCTACCCAGCACATTTACAATTTTTTTTACTGTTAGAGAAAGCTGTCGCTATCATCTACGATCTGCTAATAGCTATAATCTTCATGTACCAAATCATTCTTTTGTAAAATATGGTCTAAAATCCATAAAATACCAAAGTGTAAAATCATGGAACAGTCTACCTTCACCATTAAAATCAATTGACTCTATTACTAATTTCAAAAACTGTCTTTTTAACTATTTTTTAGCAAGATATTATACCTGAAGACTCTGAAATATGTTGTTATGCTTTTATTATTACTACTTTCTTGATACCTACTAGTTTTATTATTAACTTTTTGTTCTCATATTTTTATTGTTATTATTAGTATTGATATTAATAATATTCTTCTATCCTTATTAGTAAATTGTTATTTTTATTTATAACATAATAAGTATTATTATTGCTTTTTTAATTTTTTCTTAAGTTTATTTACTACTTATACTATGTAATTGTTATTACCACTATTATTGCTATTATCTAATATTGATTGTATAATATCTTTATTATTATTGTTAGTATTATTACTAATAATATTCCTTTTCATCGTCATCTTATTATTATTGTTAATATTATTTCTATAATTATTATCAATACTATTATAATTGTTATTATAATCACTTTTTTTGTAATGTTGTAGGTTTTTACTTTAGATTAGTACTTGTACTATTTGTAAAAGTCCTTGAAATTTTACAACTTATTTCAGAATATATATATTGAATTGAATTGAATTGAATATGACAATAAAAGATATTAAAAAAAAATTATAAAAGGTTGAATCAACCTTTTATAATTTTTTTTTAATTCTCTGGTACTAACATCTAAATTTAAGGTTTAGATAATGTGTAAAACAGGGGTATGGAGTCGTAAAAAAAAAGTAACGACTCCGACTCCAGTTGTTAGAATTTTTTGAGTACAACTCCAACTCCGACTCCAGTTTTTAAAATTTTTTCAGTGCAACTCCGACTCCAACTCTGACTAAGACTTCAACTCCAAAGCAAAATTTTTGAAAAACTCTTTGAATTCTGTAAAAAGTATTACGCAATATGTTAAAACGTTTTTTTAACAAATTTATGAAACGTTCTTTGAGGTTTATTATAAACATAAGGTTGATTGAATGTTTTGTACATGCACGTGCAATACCGAGAAGTTTTATTATAGAAGTCGGAGTCGCAATTTTGTTTAGCGATTCCGACTCCGCTAAAAATGTAGTAACTCCTCAACTCCGACTCCGACTTCACAGCGCTGGTGTAAAAGTACCATACCTAAAACGTGAAAAATGTTCTCTTTTCAGCAATAACTTAAAACTTCAAATATGAATTAAATAATATTGTGCAACTGCAAGTTTTTTTATTTTTTTGATTAGTGTAAAGATTGAAATAGTTTAAATACTAAAAAAATTTAAAGTTGGATTAATATCATCGGGGGTAGTGCAAACCCCCGAATCTACTACTGGTAGGGAGCGCGTATCCGAACAACAGATAGTTTTACAGGAAAAAGTTCAAACTTTACCTCTTTTTTTAATTATTTCAACAGATTTTGGGCTCATTTTTGCATGAAGAGTTTTATTCGTGTTCTGTGTTATGTCAACAATAGGTATTAGGTGTTAAAGTTATTTCCCTAGTCAAAAAGTCTTATAGGACTCCGATAGGATCTACAGGAATCCTATAGGTTTTATGGGAAACCTATAGGACCTATGGGACTGCAACAGGAATCCTTTTGTATTCTTATAGGTCCAATAGGATTGCTATAGGACTAATATAATTCCTATAGGTTCAATAGGAATCCTATTGCAATCCCATAGGTCCTATAGGATTCATATATATATATATATATATATATATATATATATATATATATATATATATATATATATATATATATATATCAGAGCTGGAGACTCGAGTCAACCGACTCGAACTCGAGTCCGACTTAAGTCACACCAGTGACTCGACTCGAGACTCAACTTGGGTTTTACCCTGAGACTTGCGACTTGACTCGAGACTTGCTAATTCGGCTTAGCGACTTTAAAATTATTATTTTCCGTCTCTTCAAAAATGGAGCAACTTATCATCTATTTTAATTCAACTGTTTTTTAACTATTTTTTATTTTCGAATGTTTTTATTTTAACTTACGTTTAACTGGTTTGTAGTCTAAGCGAGATCCGAAGAAAAATATCGCATTTAGGCTCTTTCGTTTTCAAAAAATTCCAACTTTTTTGTGTGCGTTCAAATTGGTTAATTTTTTCTTTAACTCATGAAATTTATTGTTAATAAATGTTCGGTGATTTTAATTTCTTACTTAAATTTTTTTTTAATTCTTTATTTTGACTTGACTTGAGACTTGACTTGACATGTCACTATATGACTTGAGACTTGACCTCAGTGACTTGAGACTTGCTCCAAAGCGACTTGAAAACAGCTCTGATATATATATATATATATATATATATATATATATATATATATATATATATATATATATATATATATATATATATATATATATATATATATATATATATATATATATATATATATATATATATATATATATATATATATATATATATATATATATATATATATATATACTCTTGCATGGTCGTCAGAAAGAGTTTCCCATAAACTGTAGTTTTAAAGAGCGCGTTAATAAACCAGACCAGAAAAAGTTTAGTTTTTTTTTTTTTTAAATGATAGACTGCCTGCCCAAACCAAACCCTCAGTCGATGTAGCAGCACTCCCTTGCGAGTCAGGCTATTTGTCAGTCGTTGTAGCAGCACTCCGTTGCGAGTCAGGATATAAGATAGTCGATGTAGAAACACTCCCTTGTAGCAGCAGGCTATAAGATAGTCGATGTAGCAACATTTACGTATGTTTTAAAAATGTTTTTTAATAAAACAAAAACAAAAACACCACTAAAAAAAAACTTTCTAGTCGTTATTAATAATAAGTTATTATATAATAAATAATTAGTGGACCCTATATTATAGGGTCCACTAATACCAGTTTCTTCTTTCATTGATTCTTTCTTTTCATTTAGTTTTGAAAGAGTAAATTCAAAACCTTTTCACTTGTCAAGATGTTAACATCTCTTTTACAAAGAGCAGTAGCTCAAACTTCAATAATTTCTTTTTTACAATAATCCAAAGGCATACTTTTTATTTCATGTCTATAACTTGGAATTTTTAAGTTTTGTGCTGCCCAACCATTTTTAATATTAATACTTTTCTCTAACTTAAAAATTGAATTAAGATATACTGCAACTAGTCTGGCAAGAACAGTCTCGGATGAATCAATCTTATTTTTAAGACAAGAAGTAATTAAAATCTGACTATTTTTCTCAGCTGATTTTTCTTTCTTCCATAGATTATCCTGACCATATTTTAAAAATCCGGAAAATTTTTTTTCCTCAAATATCCGGAAAAAATCCGGAAAATTTTTTTGTAATATCCGGAAAAAAATCCGGAATTTACAGAGAGATGTTAACAAGAAGAGAGGGGGCGTGCTCTCCTCCATCTTTTATATTACTAAAATATTACGCCAGTTTAAAAGTATCCTTACTCAACGTATATATGAATAAAAAACTACAACTTTTTTCATCAAAAAATAATAATAATAACAATAAAATTTTAACAATAATAAAAATAATGATAATAAGATGAAGTTAAAGAAGAAGTAGAAAACTATATTTAAAAGCTGTTAAACAATGCGGAAACTTTTTAGACATGCTTTTATACATTTAAATACATAATGAATAATGAAATATTGCCTCATTTCACCAAAGATATACAAATAGAAAAACGTTTAACGCATTGTTACAGATCAGAGTCGCCACCATAACTGAAATCCCATGGGCGTTATTTATTTTAGCGTTTTGGTTTTTTTGTAGTAATTTTACAAAATAAACCAACATATATCCGACACTTTAGCTTGCCAACTTCTTTCAGTAAACATTTTATTACCTACAAAGCACCAACTTTTGGAAAATATAAATGGATTTTATTTTAACTATTTTCGGAGCATACATCAATCGCAGTAAAAAGATAGGAAATAATAATAATAATAAAACACCAGACTTCTAAAATACAAAAAATAAGAAATCTTTAGTAATAAATATGTTAAAAAAGAAAATAAATAAATAAAAAGTAAAAAGATATTGAATTATTTTTCTGTAATCAGTTAGTTTTCTACAATTAGTTCTTCCACTCCGTGCTTAAAATGTTCTAAACTTAATTTTTAGTACAATGACTTCTTTTATTAAAAAATCTCCACGTTCAAAAATTATAAAAGTTTAAACATTCGTTAGATAAAGTTTAAATAAAAATTTTAAATTTATTTTAACTATGATAAATTTATTTTAACTATGATAAAGGTGAGGCATTATTAATGATTCACGTACTCATTCACGTGATTCAAAATTTAAAAGATTTAAAAATATGATTTTTTTTTTAATTGAAAGAAAATAAAATTAATTTTGACACGTGCTTTTTGAATTGAAAAGAAAACGTACCTCAAAATGCGATGTTTTTAAAAACCTAATAATGGCACTTAGAAGCAATTTGATTCACTTGACATTTAGTCAAAGTACATATGTTTAGATTTCTTTAAAATAATTACATAGAATAAAATCCTTATAGTTCAGAATATAGTTTTATTATATAACACCTATTTGTATGTAATAACTTATTACTAACAAAGTAATTAATCTTAGTAATAATAAGTTTTTTTCACCCTTTACGAAAATAAGTTGTTCCGCACGACCATATTACACCACGGTATTACAGTAACTGTAAGATTAATAGAAGTTTCTATTAGTTGAAGGTCATACCAAATTTCTCATTCTTAGATCGAACTATACATTGTTTCACTGCACTCTAGAATTGAATTTCACTAATCTCTAAAGAGTTTAAATTTAACGATTATATCTCATATTTGACTGAAATTAAAAACTGATTTCTCTGACAGCTTTTGTATTATTCTACCATCGTCATAACTTTTTAAATACCATCGTCAAAACTTTTTAAAGTCTCCAATTAATAAGAAATTATGCGAAAAAATGATATTTTCAAGAAGTGTACGAATAGAGATTTGCAATGGTACGACTGGACAGAAAACGAAATAATGATGCAGTAAATTTTGAACCACCGACAAATAAACTGAGAGAAGTTTCAGTCCATAAGCGAAGTGATTTACTTAAAAAAAGTTTTAAAACAATAAAAAAAGAAATCTCTTTGCTAATAGCTAAAAGAGGTATTTAAAAAATGTAAATTTACAATTTTTTTTAAAAAAGAAGACTTTGACACGCATCGCTAATTTTATTTTAAAAGTAGGAGATCATTCGCTCTTTTGCGCTGGGATTTTTATTAAACTTTAATTAAAATGCTTATTAATTTTTGGTTTACTCTGCGAGGGAAATCTTTTAATCTTTTTGGCTTTGTTTGTTAACTAAATATAACGTTCCGTAATTTATGGACAACAAATTTACTGTTTATATATACTTGTTACTGTTTCATTTGATAGTAATAAACAGAAAAAATTTTATAAATTGTATTTTCGGAAACTAATTATCCGGAAAATATAAAAAGTTTAAAAAATATCCGGAATTCCGGAAATATCCGGAAAAAGATAATTCCTGTTCTTCAACTCCAAAAGTTTTATAATTTTAATATTATCAACTTTTTCAAGATGAATAAATCATTGAGCTTGTGGCTGCTGGTTGAAATGTTGAAGAGCAATATTTGCACTTGACAAATAAACCATTTGAATAAATCAAAACATGTTTCCAAACTTCAGAATGTTTTTCAGTTGGTACGATCAACTGCTTTTCCATTTTTAGAACTTTATTTAAATTTATGTTTTTTAGACAAAATTGAAAGTTAATTTATTATGTTGTTTATTTTCATTATGATAAAAATATGTTGCAACCACTCAGTCTAAGAAGCGTAAAATTGACTTAGTTAGCTAAACAAGCGAGTACAAAATGTAAACAAAATGTTAGAACTCAAATGAAAAGAAAGACTTTTTAAAACTGTTTACAGATAGATGCACCCCAAAAACCAAGGCACCTCAAAAACAACGCGGTCAGTTAAAAAGCTCTAAAAATTTAAATATGCATTTTAAAACCATATGAGAAATTTTTTCTCATAAAGGAATGTTTCAGCAACAATTAAAACAAAAGAAATCAATATTAACAATAAAGGAGTTTTTTTTACAACCGTTTTAAACTTAAAAAGTGCTGAGAAAAATAATTGAGTTTTAAGTAATATTGCTATAAAATATTGGTTTTTTAGACTAAGTTTGCAAATCCCATCTAGTTTGCTTATCTTTTATATGCTATTTACATAAATCAAACCATTTTTATTATAAGTAGAAGGGAAACTTGTAAAAAAAAGTTTAAAAATTACATTTTAACATGTGGTTTTTGGGGTGCGCTAAGAAAAAGTTAAAAAAAAAAGTTTATCCAGAACAAGTCTTTACAACAAATTTAAAACAAATAGTTCATTCAATAAAAAAGATTTTGAATATCACAGTTATTTCTTTCTAGCAGCTGCAGATAAAATCATTTCTGGGTTTTTTCCATTTACTTTGCAGTTTGCTTTGCTGCAAATGGACCGCATTATATTGAGGCAGGTTGGACACTGCTTTAAGCCAAAAGCTTTACATTTTATCTCCTCGCAATAGCATTGAAGCTTACATGTTATAAAGAGTCTTGTAACTTCCTCTTTCTTTTTTGCAGCATTTTCTTTTTTTTCCTTTTCTTTTTCTTTTTTTCTTTTTATGCTTTCAACTAGAGTTATTACATCGCTTGCAGTCATTGATCCATGTACTTGGGTAACACGTGTTGCATCTTTTGTTAATTTTGGCTTTATCTTTTTGGTTGTCATAAAACCAGGTATTTCTTCCAGCTGAATGCTCTTTTCATGAAGTTCATCAATCAACTCCATCGCTTGTTCAAATTTTGATTTCCAATAATTTGCTGAACCACGTCTTTTATCCGGCGAAGAAATTAGTGGAGAAGTCTGTTTTTCTGGTTCAATACAGTTTTCTGCTCGTTCGATTTGTCTTTTTGCATAAAATCAACACTCAATGCATTTTCGGCAACACCAACCCTTTTAGCAGATTTTACAAGCGTTTCTTTGGTTGTCCACTTGTCCCATATATTAGCTAAAACTAACATAAAAGCTTCTTTGTTTAAGGAACAGATATCAGAAAACATAGAGTCTTTTTGCTTACGATACTCACTATGAATGTTCTTGTTTACTTGGTCAAGAAGTTGAGTAACTCCTGTTGTGTCTGGTGGAGTAAGAAAAAGATGAATTCTTTTGGACTCCAAAAAAGATAATACATCAAAGTCTAGTCTAGAGCTATGTCCATCTGATAATAAGACGATGGGTCGCTTAACATTTTTTTCATTTAAGTAGACATCAAACTCTTTCAATGCTGCCAAGAAAGATTCATGGGTTGATACTCCATTATCTGTAGTTGTGACCAACAAATGGGGAATTTTATTTACTGCTTCTGTTGGAACCATAGAACTAGTAATACCAGTACATTTAAATATTACCTGACACATACATATGTCGCCTAAAAATAAAAAATAAAAAAGTTTTTTAATGCTTGTATTTATTTATATTCAATTTTTTCTTGAACCATAACATATTATAGCATACCTGAAAATGAAACAAATGGTTGAATTGTGACACATTCTCTGTTTTCTCTATACATTCTTTGACATGCATCTCCTTTGCCAGCATAAAATAATCCAGAAGTGGTACCATCAATTCCATAATTAATAAACTGGGGTGTTTCATCACAATTAAATATTCGGCATGTATCAACAGTGCCATTCCAAACCCCTGTTTCAATCATTTTTTCATTTATCATAATACCAACATCTACTAGTTCTTTAGCAAGGGAATCTGAAATAATGTTATTATAGGGAAATGAACAAATTAAAAAAAAAAGTACATTCAGATTTATGAATTTATATTTGTTCATTAATAACTTACCTAAATGATTACATGCCATTTCTCTTGAACAATTAAGTGCACGGTTTATAGAGACACTCCCTTGGCGTTTGATTGTAAGGCTGCTATGTTTAGCATTAAAACGAAGCCAAAATGATCGACTCAATCTATAAAATGGAATATTTACATAAAGAAAAGAGTCATATTACCCGTCTTACATACTTTTATAGGATCATTGTAGATTAAATGAATTCAATTAAACTTACTTTCCCTTTTCTAGAGCAGCTCGAGCATTTAATGATAACTTTTGAAACTTCCGTCCACCTTTCATTTTTGTATTAGTGTAATCTCTCACACAAAGCACATTAATAATTAATTTGGTTATGTCCTGTTTGTTAATTGCCTGTAAACATCTGTTCTTATTTTTTATAAAACGCACAATAGATGCTTCTTCATCATCTGTAAGTATAGTAAAATAATCTCTTTCTTTTCCATTAATCACTTTTCCATCTAATCGCCTGTTGATTGTCTCTCTATCTTTAATAAGGGGAAACAAACCTGTCTTTAATGCTGCTTGTTCCCTTCCATTAAATTTTTTGCAACAATTTATTGCAGCTTATAACTGTTTATTTTTATTATTTGTGTGTTTTCTGGCCACTATGGCATCAGCTTTAGTACTGAGATTTCTTGATTTGTTTATACGTAGATGTAATGCAGATGATGGTTTCATTTTACTTTATAATATTATATTAAACAAAATTCTAAAACAACAAAAAACATAACATAGTTCAATGGTAGTATTTCCACAATACATTAACTTTTTTTTTTTTTTTTTTATGATGACAAAGAGCTACTATCTTAGAGTACATCCTAAAATTTTTTTATTGAATTATTTTATATATTTTCTAAAATATTCAAATAACCAACGTGGTTTTTGGGGTGCACATGATGTGGTTTTTGTGGTACATCCTAAAAATTTAAGTTAGCAATGATACAATCATCCTAAGACTAATTTATTAAAACTATCTTCTACAAAAAATCAGGTCTTAATTCCAAATAGTTTAGATTTTATAGCCAATTTTGTCAATGTTGTTTTTGGGGTGCATGAAAAAAAGTGTTGTTAACTTCAACATTCTAGAAAAAGAACTCAAGCGAGACTTAAAATACCATACCTACCAGGAAGAACCCTATTTAGGCTTATCTTTCAGAACCCATATTAACAAAATTATGATCTGTCCTTAGAAAATAAATCTAGACCCTCCTACTTTCGCGTGGCTTTTGGGGTGCAACCACCTGTATAGTAAGAAAAATTAATTATTATTTGAATTATTTAAAAAAACAAAACATTATTCAAACAAATTCAAATTATTTGATTATTTAAATATTTATTTATTTGAGCCCTAATTGGGTATCGAGAATCATAATAAACTGTCAAATAGCGCTTAAATTTTTTTTTTGGTATGTAACGAGAATAATGATAAAAACGCGATTTAATTATAAGATGAGATTTTTTGTTACTAAATCACTAAGTCGTATTTCAATTACTTAACGATTAAGTGCAATCGCAACTAATCGTCTGCAATTCTGCATCTAAAAATCGCTTTTAAAACTAGTTTACTAGTGCTTATGCCATATGATTTGCAGTATAGACTGGATGACTTCGTGTCAAACCAGTCTATACAACGAGAGTTGAAATAAAATATTTGAAATTTAAATTTTTGATACCAAGCAAAATAAAAGTAACTGGTGCCCAATGCACTTAAAAATTTTAAGTATAATATATTGTCGAATGCAAAGAAATATTACATAAAATAATTTTTTAATACAAACTCATTTTAAAATTTTCTTGTTTAGACTGGTTTGGTACAACCATCCATGTCTTAGTATTAACTTAGATAAAACTCGATTTTTAAATAAGCCAAATATTTATTTTAACTTACACAACATCTTTATAAATACAAAATTGTTATAAACACAATTTTTAACAATATTAATATAATATAAATATATTATAGTAAATTGAAAAAGATTTACCAACTTCGATTACTGTCTAGTTACAATAATAGAATACTATCAAAAAACTAAAGAAAAAAAATATGATCTACAAGACTAATTTCAATATTAGTGTGACAAAGAAAAATAATTAAATATAAGAAAATTCAAGAAATATAAAAATGTATTTTAATGTAAAAAAATTTAAAGAAAATAAACAGATCCAATTTGGTATAAGAAATTCTTGTTTTAAATTAACATAAAAAATTGAAAATAAAAAGAAAATGGATTTAAATAAATTTTTTTTTTTTACATGCTAAAAAATTTTCAAGTCAAATATTTATAATTTTATATAATAAATAACTATACAATTAACTGTACAAAATATATTAAGAATCTTCAATGCGAAAGTAAAAAGAATTAACAATAATTTATAAATAAGAATTTTCAGATTAATGAAGTAATTTCATTAATAATCGTACTAAAAATTATTAATGATTTATCAACGGGGAGTGCTCGTTGTTTTCGTCATCGTATTCCTTTTTCTAAAGGCATAAGTTAAAAAATTAAATGCTTAAAATTATTTTGAGCAAAACATTAAAGGAAACACTTTCCTTAAGATTTAAGAAGATTCAAGAAATTAACTATGTGTGACCAACAACAACAATTGTTAATAGAATCAACAACAATAATAATAAACAACTCACCTGACGATAAGGTGCAATAACATTTTTACTAGAAGTTAAGGATTTAGACGAAGAATGACTGAGAATTTTGCATGCAACTTTAATGCGATTCTTCATATTAATACATAAATCTGTTTCATCAAAAATTTCTTCTTGTAATATTTCTTCTAATATATCTTCTAAAGTTATAATGCCAACTACTTCCTAAGCAAAAATGAACATTTATTTAGACGTACCTCAACGTAATCATAAAAATGCGGTAAGACTATGACTTACCAGATTCGAATCCGTCACAAGACACAAGTGACCTAATAAAAATTAAAAAGTATATTATACAAAAGAATAAAACAATGAGATGTTCACATAAGAATTTATTTTTATTAAATATATTCAAGTTTTAGTATTTATTGATTACCAAGCGAGTCAAATAAAATTAAAAAAAAAAAAAAAAAAAAAACCTGTTAACAAGTTAATATATTCAAAATGGAGGCCTGTAGGATATATATTTCTTTGTGAACTATTAATATAGTAATTAGAATAGTAATTAACATAGTAATTCTCTCAAAGGTCACGAGACTTATACTTATAAACAAGTTTTCATTATATATATTGAATTTTTAATGATTACCAATTGAGTCAAAAAACAAAAGGTCGCTAGGATATATTAAATATTTGTTAGAATAAAATTAAGGTTATAACAAGATTTAAACGGCTTAAAATTCTTATATAATAAAAAATAAATTAACTACTAAAAATTTCCTACTCCTTCCTGTTTGGCATGCCTTAAGAACGCTGTAAAGAGGTGCATTTTCAGGGAATCTAGGTATTAGTTTTTGAGAGCGCATAACATCGATAACTGGTACATTATCATACGGATGAAGCGTAATTATTGATTTTACAAGTAAAATTCCAATGATATTTTTCCTATTTTTCTCGTAAACAGGGATTCGTGAATGTCCAAAATCGATTATCTAAAAAATTATAACGTATTAAATTATGTTTCAAAATATTTATATTTACATTTTTTAGATATATATATATAAACTAGTATACCTCAGACATGGTTTGGTAATCAAGAGAGGTATCTGCGCTAAGCATGTGTACAGAATCTAATGGAACCAAAGCATCTTTACATGTTTTCATCGTTAAATCTAATGCACCCTAGATTTAAAAATAAAAATAAATAAATAAACAACACCCTTGTAAAAATAGTAAACAAGTTTTGTGCGTGTATTTATTTGATTTTTCTTGAATACTTTAATATTTTTTTTTAATATTTTATATTTTAAATTACTTTATAATATAAACTGCTAACAGTTGGTAAAATATATTTGCATAATTTTCATGTAACAAGTGTATATTGTCCCTATACGAATACATCTATGTAATGCATGCATGTTAGTGTATGTTTATACATACACTAATATGTTAATTTGTTTATGTATGCATATATACGTATCTACTTCATAGGCTTTATTTCATACATCACTTTTACAATTATATAATTATACTTATTTGCTCATCAGTAAATGCGCATTTTAGCTTATCTGGATAAGCATATACTTAATACTTGATATGGCTGTGGTTCAAATCCCATCACTATCCAATTTCTCATTGTTTTTTTTTTTTTTTAATTCTGCTGGTCATATATTAATATTGTAATCTTTTCTTTTTTGTATATAAAAAAACTTTCTGTTGTATGCTTTTGAATGATACACATTTCTTCACATTCAGATTTCTTATACTATTTAAGCCTCTTAGTGTATTTTATAAGTAAGGCAGACACACATATATACATAGTTTTTAAGCTTCAAATATGTTATTCCGTATACAGCCTTAATTGTTTCATATTACCTTTCTATTTCATTACTTTGCAATTTGAATACTTGTTGCTTTTTAACATTCAGCTCAGTGCACTTAGATCTACCCGCCCCCGCCCTTTTAGTCTACTATTGAATCGGTCAAATAATGGTAAACAATTATTAATAATACATCTTTTGCTTGAATTTTGTGCTTTTATACTGGACATCTGTCCAACACTTTTTAAGAATTTTAAGCTGACACTTAATCTAACATAATGTTTCCTCATTCTCCCTTTCTCATTCTTCTTTTTCTCAGGCTCCTGCAGCTGTGTGTGTTCCGCTCAACTGTGTGTTCCACTCAACTGTGTGTTCCACTCAACTGATTTTTGAGTCCTAATGCAAATAATAAATGGTAAAGCAACAAGTATATGTATTGGAAAAAAAAAAGTCTTTTGAAATACTAACAACCACCTTTAATAAATAATAACAACCACCTTTCATAAATAATAACAACCGCCTTTAATAAATGAAAATAAAAACAGTACACAAATTATTTAAATTTTCATTTTTTTCTATTTAATATAATATGATAACATAGTAAAAAGGTGTAGTAGTTTAAAAACTATGAGTGAAATTAATTGTAATTAATTTCACTTTGACAGCATAAACGTTGTGTAGTTATTCTAGGTAAATAAATTAAATTATAAATTAATGAATGCAAGTTTTGAATAAGTTTAAGCTTTCACTTTTGATGACGAAATCTGGTAGTTTGTTCCACATTGACGAGACTCTATAGTTAAAAATTGATGAGGAATATTGTAGTTTTTAACTATTTCTCTTCTGATTTTGAAGTTATGGCCCCTTGTGTTGGGCTGATATGAGGCAATCTGGTTCTACAATGTTTATATTTTTAAATAGTTGGTACATTTTAATTAAGTCACCTCTTTTATCTCTTTTTTCCAGTGTGCTTAAGCCAAGTATTTTAATTCTTGTTTCATAACTTTGTTTTGAATCTGGGGTATCCATTTAGTGGCAGAACGTTGAACTTTTTCAAGTACAATTAATATCACTTTTAATGTATGGACACCATTCCTTGTATCGCAAATTCAAGATGGGGTCTTATAAATGTTTTGTATAGTAATCTAAAACATTTTTTATTGATGTAATGAAATATTTTTTTCAGCATTCCAAGCATTCAATAAGTTTTCGATGTACAATACCTCGTGTGACTTTTCCATTTGAGATTTGGTGACATTGTAATTCCAAGATCTTTTTCGGTATCAGAGACTGCTAATGATGTCAACTAGTTTATAAATATAGAGAAGATTATTTTTTCCAAAGTACATAATACAACATTTTTTACTATTAAATTGTAATTGCCAGATCTCTGATCATTCACAGGCTTGGTTAATATGTAATATCTTTTTTTAGTAATTTTTTTTGTTAATAGAATAAAATATTTTTTTCAACATTCCAAGCATTGAATAAGCTTTTGATGTATAATTGGTTATGTGACTTTTCCATTTGAGATTTGACAACATTGTAATTCCAAGATTTTTTTCGGTATCAGTGACTGCTAATATTTTGTCACCTAGTTTATAAATATAGTGAAGGTTATTTGTTATAAAGTGCATAATACACAGGGTTTTAATGCCAACCCTGATAATACACCATTTTTTACTATTAAATTGTAATTGCCAGATCTCTGACCATTCACAGGCTAATTTTATTCTGAAGCAATTGACAATTCTCTGAGCTAGATACTTTCCTGATTAACTTGGTGTCATTTGCAAATAGCTTAGAATGTTCTAAAATCTCTGATAAATCGGTGATATATAAAATGAATAAGATAGGAGAAATTACTGATCCTTAGGGAACACAGCTTGTTATTAATTCCCAGTTTGATGCTATCATTTGTACCACTCTTTGGTGTCAATTAGTTAAAGAGTCGCTAATCCAGTTGCATATGACATTTGATATTCAATATGACTTAAGTTTGATTAATAATTGTTCATGAGGTACAGTGTCAAAGGCAAAATAAAATATATCTACTGTAATGTCTTCCGCTAGCAATTTACGTAAAAGTTATTATATTACCTATTATTGTCTCACAAGAGTAAGACAAAGTATAATTTTTTAAAATCAGTAAATAAATGGTATTCTCGCTGGTAAAGACTGATTTAAAGTGATCATTCATAATGTTAGCTATTTGGTTAAGTTCTTCAATTAGTTCATTATTGGATGTTAAAGCTCGGATGGTATTTTTTAAATTGTTTTTGCTGTTAATATATTTGAATAGTAGTTTTGGATTGTGGGTTGATTTACTTACAAGACTCTTTTCAAATAAGCATTTTGCTTTTAGAACTTAACTCTCTAAGCCTTTTCTTTTTTATGTTATTTTGGATTTAGCCTGTCTATTGTTTTTTGAATATAAATTTAACCATAGTGACCTTTTGACATGCACCAAATCTTTAATTTCTTATGTGATCTAGAGAGTTCTATTGGCATTATAAGTTCTAGTTCATTGTGGTATAAAAGAAAGATTTAAATTTATTTTAATTTTCTATTTTGTTAATTTTGCTTTCTTTGTTTTTGAAACTTAGTTTTTTTACTATGTGACAACTTGGTAATGGCCCTTGCAAAGAACCATGACCAAGTTGACTAAATAAAAAACTTTTTTGTGGACAAACAAGACAAAAAAACCACACACATCTGGGACATGTGTCAACCATTTTATCGCTAAATGTTATACACACACACATATATATTATATAGCTATAAAGTTATATAATATTATAAAATTTTATATATATATATTTATTTAATATATATAAATATATGTTATATAATATATATATGTTATATAATATATATATATATATATATATATATATATATATATATATATATATATATATATATATATATATATATATATATATATATATATATCAATAATAAAAGTAATTTCTCGGTAGACAGTGCTCAATACAAAAGTAGAGCAAATATGTATTAAATTAATAATAAAATAAATACAATTAGATTTAAAACATAACTCGGAGTTTCATGCTTTATGCGATCATCAGACGTTACAAACAACCGTAACAACAACAAAAATTATATACAAAAATACAATACAGTGTTAGCTTAGATGACGTTAAAGTTGCAAATAACAAATTTGTTTTCGTGGCGACATTTTGATATTAGTTCATTTCGTTTATTCAGTAGTTTCAAAGATGACGTAATGATATGGTATTTTTCAGTTAAGCAAAGGTTACATAACTTTCCTCCAGGTTTAAATGGTTCCGCCCTATCAATAACTTTCCACGTAAGAATAGGATTTGAAAATCCCTTTTTTTTCATTTCCCAGATATATTTCGAAAGTTCTGTGGTGTTAGCTTTACTTTCGTATTGAAAGGAATTTTTATGTTTGTACCAGCGATCTTTAAAGGTGTGTTCTAAGCTAACACTGTATTGTATTTTTGTATATAATTTTTGTTGTTGTTACGGTTGTTTGTAACGTCTGATGATCGCATAAAGCGTGAAACTCCGAGTTATGTTTTAAATCTAATTGTATATATATATATATATATATATATATATATATATATATATATATATATATATATATATATATATAAATTTATATAAAAATATATAAAATTATATATATATTATATAATTATATATAATATATATAATTAGCACAAAAAGAACTTTAAAATAGAACTAAATCAATAAATACATTATAATAAGAGATATTTAATATCCAACAATGGATTTTCTTGTAAAAAGTGTATTTTAGTAACGTTTAGGTTTGATAGCAAATTATTAGTATTCTTGCATAGTGTCCTAATTTGTATTTAGATTTGTATTTAGAAATTTCTTTTTCTTTATATTCATTATATTTTAGATTTATTTGCTTTCACCATTATAGGCCTGGAATTATTGCGATTTAACATATTTTGCTATATTTATCATTTTAGTTTTTATATTTATTTCATTTTTATTTTTTGGTTATTAATTGATATTAAAAATAAAATCATTATAATAGTTTATAGTAAATCATTATAATAGTTTAAATAGAGTTTTTCTTTTTCAATGGTTGTCATAGTGATCCTGTTCTGTAAGTATAAGTAAGTCATAGTGATCCTGTTCTGTAATTCTTCAACTTTCAACAGTTTTCAAGATCTCAAAATTTGAGTTTATTTTCGGCTACTGCACGTGTATCTTACTTATTGATTATTTATTAATATGAGAAATCACTAAGTTGTTTAAATTGTCATTAAACAAACTGAAGAAATTGCTGCCAATGTTAATATTGATTTTAAAATTGAAAAACTGATTTTATTTCTGAAT